TTAAATTAGATAAAATTGGTAAGTTTATATGTATTAGAGTTTTCATTCATAATTTTCATATTGTTTTCAAACATTCTATCTAGAGATGGTCAAAATGTTACAACGCACAAACTCAAGATAAAAAATACTGATGATTAAGAATGTCGCAATAGTTGCAGATTTAACAATTATGTGAATGATCAATTAGAAAAATATAGCAAGTTATAGTCATTGAGATTATACTTATATTTATCAATTCCAATCAAGAGCATTCTAAACGGACGAACTCAGAATAAGATGGTTTGGAAAAATGTCGCAATAGTTACAGATTTGACAACCAGGAATGTCACAATAATTACAGATTTGTTAATTACGTGGATGATCAATCAGAAAATGATCATACAGATAATCAAGAATGTCGCAATAATTATACAATTATAAAATTGCAGCAACAGTTATAGCCATCGTAAATATCGTAATAATTACTTACATTTACCAATTCACAAGTAACCAATCAAAAACGTTTAAATCGACAAACTCTGAATTAGATAGTTTAGATATTGATAATATTGTTTTCATTCTCTAGTTCCATATTACATATATGAATTAAATTCTCAGATTTTGAAGTCAATTGATGTCGCAAAATAAGACCTTTAACATTCTTGTAAATATCTTTTCCAAATGATACATATCGTTTTTTTTTGTTGAGATAATGATAATTCATTAAGTGGATGTTTTCTCTTATTAACATTAGTGATAGTTTTTGCCATAGATAATTCTTTGGATTTTTCAATTCGTGTTTGATATAAAATTTCGATATCCAATCTAAAAATATGAATTCCAGAAAGTTGGGAATTTTCTCTATTAATTTTCTGTATAACAGATAATATAATATATATTAATATACTAGATAATATTATTCGAATATAAAAATTTTTTTAAATTTAATTCTTCGCCTAACTCTAATTAAATTTACTATAAAAATATTAACCACTACATTATACTTCAATACTAATTTAAATCTACTATATTATTACCTTTAAGAATGTATTTACAGCACCACTTGATGATCGCTCACTAGATACCATCCATTCGGCACGATCTTCTTTCCAAGTAATTGTAAATAAAACTTTATTATAACAGATATATTTTGTTTCACAGCATAAAGCTTTATTTGCAACTTCAGTTTTTATAGCATATCCATCAGGAATTTGATATTGAATATTTTTTCTCTTTTGCGTATATTTAACATTCTGCAGATAGTACCCAAGTTCTATTATCTTATATCTTGATTGAAAACTTTTATTCCTGGAAGTATATTGAGCAACTATATAAGGATTATTAGGATAATTGTGATAAAAAATTCTGGCAGAATCCTATTTATAACAAAGTAAGTTATAATATTTAAAGTAAAATAAAAAATTTGTCCGTCCAACCACACCAGGTAATAAAAAACAAAATTAAACTTTGTGGCCTAATAGTAAAAAATACTTACTGTGGGTGAATTTTTAAGTCTATGTCCATAATGAGTCTTATTAAACTGATCTACAACTGATTTGAAGTTCACAATTTCAATAGTAAAGGCTCATTATTCAAAACAATTATTGGTTTAAATTTAAATTATCACGCAATTTGGTAGTACAATGTATACCAAATTTGTAAACGTCACAAATTTTACATAGTGATTTATATATCGAAAAAAGAATAATTAGCCCATATGATTTATTTAACAACAAATACTTTAAGTTTTGTAACACAATCTAACCTACATGAACATTTCTAAACACTGCCATAAAAAACTTTGTATTTATGAACTCTCATAGCCTAAATATAAAAAAAAAAAGAGGTTGGAATATTAGTTCCAAAAATACATAGTATTTTTTACTTATAGAAAGTAAGAAGAACAAGTTGAAACAAAATCTTACAACTTTCACTTACTAATTGCTTAGGTCACCAAAACACCTTCCGACTCTTCAAAACCTTCACTTCTTATCTAATTTTTGAAACTACTGCATCCTACTGCATTCCAAGTAGGGATGGGTTCGGTTGACTATGGTCGACTATTGGTTGACTACGACTCTTAGCTGGTTAGCCGATTGGCTAAAGTGGCTATTAGTCGACTATAGCCGATCAATTATTTAATCAATTATTTAATAATAATCAATATAAATGTACTCTAAGAGTATATAAATACACCCTAATAGTATATAAATTTACATACGTACAGGCTGGTTGGATATCATATGTTGATATTTATCAAAACTATCTAATTCTGGCCAAATTTGCAAATCATTTGGATGGAAAATTCAGAGAAATGATCTGCAAATTTGACCAGAATTAGATTGGTTTAACAAAGATCAACATGTTATTTTTAAAGCGTAATACATATAAGATGTGACAAACATTGATGTGATGAATATGAATATGACAAATAAATAATGAATTTGTCGTGTGTTATTCATCACATCACCATTTGTTACACATATATTCGTCACATCAAAATGGAAAAATTTAAAGTGCACATGATTATTATTTATAGCATCGGTTACGATTTTAGTTGGTCGACTAAGCTGCTCTGACCGACTAGCATCGACTATGGCTATAGCCACCAGCTAAGCAACTAAGCTATAACCGAACCCATCTCTAATTCCAAGTTAAAAAACAATAAAGCCAAAGGTAAAATATCAACACTCAAGTTGGTTGCTACATTATGTATTATAAAAGAAATTTTTATATGGCATGACGATTTTTACTTATAAAAATACTTTAAAAATTACAATTGCCTGTATAAAAAAAAGATCGTCACCAATCAAAATTACTCTTATTTTAGCCAATCAAAACAAATGCTATGCTTTTAAGTAGATCTACAAATTTATACTTAGGGCACTGACATTTATTACATAATATTTTAGAGGTGGGGTTAAGCATGTACGTACTATTACTATATCAATATCTTATATTACACAAAGAAATTAGTATAATCATAAATTGGCCAATCATATTGGATCTTATGTGGGAGTCTTCATAGTAAATGTATATTACATAATAAATGTCAGCGCCTTTATTGGAACTTTAAAATATTTTGATAAAATTTATTTGTAAAATAATATTTTTTAGAGTACAGAATTTTAAACATCTATTTTTAATAAATTAAATTTATTCTGCAAATATAAGCAAAATGTGAACAAAGTTAAAATATTACACAAAAGTACTAGTGACTTTTCGAAATGCCATCCAAGTAAGCTGCACAGTATATTATCAGGTACTATGTTATTCACTAACAATTCACTAATCATAATAACTCAGAAGGTTCCATCACCAGTCGATTACTCAACGTGATTATTTTAGACAAACTGGATTGTTAAAATTTATCAAATCATAAGATGCATATTTTAAGATCATTAATAATTTAAAAAATAAATATCCCTTAAACCATTTCTCCTACAAATTTGCCCTAAAATTTGGTTTAAAATTTTATTTTTAAAATAAAATTTTAAATATTGATTTTAACTATATACTTTCTAAATAAAAAATGTTTTTTTAAATATATTCTAATAACTTTATTAAGAAATTTTTTTTAAATTTATTAATAAACTTAGAAGTATTAAAAATCTTAAAGTTTTTGTTTTGAACTTTTTAATATAAGATTTTTCTTTAAATTTTTAAATTTTTATTAATGAAAAAAATTTTTACTACTAATATAAGTCTTAATTTTACAAAAAAATCATAAAAGTTGTAATAACAAAAGTTGTCATTCTTTATTTAACTACAATTTCAATTAATAAACTATAGGTTTAAAATTAATATTTAAAAAATTTTCAAATGATTGTAAATTTTTTTTTTTAATTAAAAAATTTTTTAAATTTTGTATATTTTTAGCCTATAAGTAAGTTAAATTTTTTATCTTGTAGTTTAAATATAATTTTACAAAAACATAATCCTTACTTTTAATTTTTATTTAAAAAAAAATTTAATTAAATATATCAAATTTTTAAAAAAATAGATCAGAAGAATTTTTATAGTAAAATTCAGGGCAAATTTGCCCTGAATTTCAAACGGTTTAAGGGATAATAAAGTTTATACTCACTCACTAATAATTTGACGGAGGCATTGTTAAAACATTTGCCAGATGCGCATTTTAAGATTATCAATAATTTAAAAAAAATAAATATAATAAATTTTATACTTGAGTGCTAATTATTTGCAGAAGTATTTGTCAGATGAATATTTTATGATCACCAAAAATTTAAAAAGTAATAAAATAAAGTGTATACTTACGCGCTAATAATTTTACAGAGGGATTTGTTAAAATATTTGACAGATGCATATTTTAAGTCATGAATAAATCAAAGAATAAAGCTTATACTTACGCGCTAATAATTTGACAGAAGCATTCATTAGATGCATATTTTAAGATCACCAATAATTTTAAAAATAAATATAATAAAGCTTATATACTTACGTGCTAATAATTTGGCAGAGGCATTTGTTAAATAATTTGTCAGATGCATATTTTAAGATCACCAATAATTGAAAAAAACAATAAACTTATACTTACGCGCTAATAATTAGACGGAGGAATTTGTTGAAATATTTGTCAGATGCATATTTTAAGATTAACCAATAATTAAAAATAATAATAATAATAATAAACCTTATACTTACAGCCTAATTATATGACAGTGGCATTTGTTAAAATATTTGTCAGATGCATATATTAAACCACCAATAATAATTTTAAAAATAAATTTAATAAAAATTATACTTACATACTAATAATTTGACAAAAGCGCATGGTAAAATATTTATCAAGGCATATTTTAAGATTACCAATAATTAAAAAATAAATATAAAAATTTACGCTCTAATAATTTGATAGAGACATTTAATAAATATTTGTCATATGCATATTTTAAGATCACGAATAATAATTTAAAATAAATATAATAAAGTTTATACTTACTCACTAATAATTTGACAGAGGCATTTGTTAAATATTTACCAATAATTTAAAAAATAAATATAATAAAACCTATACTTACGCCCTAATAATTTGATAGAGACATTCGATAAAATATTTGTTAGATGCATATTTTAAGATCATAACAATAATTTTAAAAATAAATATAATAAAGCTTATATTTACATGCTAATAATTAGACAGATGCATGCATTAAAATATTTGTCCGATGCATATTTTAAAAAAATAAAAACAATAAAGTTTATACTTGCTAATAATTTGACAGAACCATTTGTTAAAAAATTGTCAAATACATATTTTAAAACTACAAATAATTTTAAAATAAATATAATAAGGCTTAAACTTACAGGCTAAAGTTTACGGAGGCATTTGTTAAAATATTTATCAGGTGCACACTTTAAGATCATCAATAATTTAAAATAAATATAATAAAGCTAATATTTACTCTCTAATAAATTTACAGAGGCATTTGAAAAATATTTGTCAGATTAAGTTCACCAATAGTAAAAAAAAAATAATAAAATAAAGCTTATACTTACGACCTAATAATTTGACAGAGCCATTCATTAAAAGATTTGACAGATGCTTAGTGTAAGGTTGCAAATAGATTAAAAAATAATATAATAAATCTTATACTTACTAATAATTTGACCAAAGCATTTATTAAAATATTTGTCAAATGCATATTTTAAGATTAACAATAAATTAAAAAATAAATATAATAAACCTTATGCTTACACCCTAATAATTTGACAGAGGAAATATTTGTCAGATCATATTTTAAGATCATAAATAATTTAAAAAAAATTAATAAAATAACGTTTATATTTACTCTCTAATAATTTGGCAGAGGCATTTGTTAAAATATTTGACAGTGTACATTTCAAGATCATTAATAAGTTTAAAAATAAATATAATAAAGCTTATATTTACTGGCTAATAATTTTGACAAAGGAAATTGTTAAAATATTTGTCAGATTCATATTCTAAGTCACCAATAATAATTTTAAAAATAAATATAATAAAGTTTATACTTATGCACTAATAATTTGCAAATGCATTTGTTAAAATATTAGTCTGCAGATTCTAAGAGTACCAATAATTTAAAAAAAACAATTGTAACGAAACTTATACTTACGCACTAATATTTTGACCAAGGCATTTGTTAAAATATTCATCAGATGCATATTTTAAGATCATAGATATTTAAAAAAATAGTTATAATAAAACTTATACTTACAGGCTAATAATTTGACAGAAGCAGTTGTTAAATATTTGTCAGATGCATACAAATAATAATTATAAAAATAAGGAAAGTTATATTTATAACACCGTGTTATATTACAAATATATAACACGGAGTTAAATATGATATTTCTAAAAATAAATAAAATAATGCTAATACTTACATGCTAATATTTTTACAGAGGCATTTGTTAAAACATTTGACAGATGCATATTTTAAGATCACAAATAATGATTGTAAAAATAATTACAATAAAGCTTATACTTACGCACTAATGATTTGACAGAGGTAATTGTTAAAATGTATCAGATGCATATTTTAAGATCACTAATAATTTTTTCTTTTAAAAAAAAATACTTACGGGCTAATAATTTGACGTAGGCAATTGTTAAAATAATTGTCAGATGCAAAGGGATCCGATCAACTCACCAACAATAATTCGTAGACACTAAATTTCACTGACAATTACAAGTACATTTCATCGACAGTTTATTTCACCGAAGCTCATTTTACAGGCAAAATAATTCTGGTTAATATCATTAGGGTTAGGATAGAGTTAAAGTTAT